ACTAATTGAATGAACTACAGGTAAATTGCTGCTTCACCTGAAAGGTGTGAGTGGGGCCTTGGATAGCGAGGAGGGAGGAAGTAAACAGGCAGGTGTTACACCTTCTGCAGTTGCATGGGTGTGTTGGGATGTTGGGAATGGAGGAGTGGTGGACCAGGGTCTCCCGGAAGGAATGGTGCCTGCAGAATGCTGGCAAACGAAGAGAAGGAATGTGCGTCTGATCGTGGCATCCCAACGGAGGTGACTGAAATGGCAGCTTAGAATCCTTTACATGTGGAGGCTGGTAGGGTAGTAAGTGAGAGCTAGAGGGACCCTATTGGTGTTGGGAGGGAAGGGAAGGGGCGAGGGGTGAAGTATGGGAGATGGGTGGGACCTGGCTGAGGGTCCTGTTGATCACGGTAGTGGGGAACCCTCAGTTGAGGAAAAAGGTGGACGTTTCCACCCGTGGAAGGTGATATCAGAGCAGAAGCAACAAGAGATTGAGAAACCGGGAGAATGGAATGGAATCTTTGCAAGAAACAGGGTGTGAGGGCGTCAAGGTAACTGTGAGAATAAATGGATTTGTGGTGGATATTAGTGGCCAGCCTATCCCTAGAAAAGGAAACAGGTGTTGAGGAAGGGAAGGAAGGAGTCTGAGGTGGACCAGGTGCAAGTGACAGCAGGGTGGAAATTGGAAACGAAATTGAAAAAAATTCCAATTCTGACGAGAGAGGGAAGCAGAATCCATATACCAGAGAAAGAGTTGTGGCTGGAGGCCGTAGTAGGATTGGAACAAGGAATGTTGCATGTACCCCACAGCGTATAGCTGGGGCCCATGAGGTTACCCATGGCCACACCTTTGATCCAAAGAAAGTGAGAGGAATTAAAAGAGAAGTTGTTCAGGGTGAGGATGAGTTTGGCCAGGCGGAGGAAGATGGTAGTGGATGAGGACAGTTCAGATCTCCTTTGCTGTATGAAGTGGAGAGCCCTGTGACCATCCTGATGGGGGATGGACGTGTAAAGGGTTTGCACATCCATGGTAAGGAGGAGGTGGCTGGAGCCTGTAAACAGATTGTATTACAGGCCTTCGAGAACATTAGACATAGGCCTAGTGCCTGACAATTGTAAAGAAACTAACTGAGTGTCTGTCATTAACAGGATCATTGCAAACTCTTTACCCCTTTCACTCAGTGGGGCTGCATGACAGCATGTGAGTTCGCGATCGAGTGCAGCGTTTAAGTCAATTATATTGATGCAAACCATTTTGTACTTTTTTTTTTTGTAAAGGTGATAATCATTGAGGAGGGGTCTGGACAAAATAGGTGAGGAGGAAACTTTCTATTTGTGAAAGGCTGCAGAACGAGAAGGCCCAGATTTAGAATCATTGATAAAAGAAGCAGAGTTGACAGGGAATCTTTTTTCCTCTCTGCCAAGCAAGTAGTCCGGGTCTGGAGTGCATTGCCATGGGATGTGCTGGAGGTGTCTTCAGTCAAAACATTCAATGGGGAATCAGACAATTAATTGAAAAGAAAATATGAAGTCCAGGGAAAAGCCTGGAGAATGGTATTGAGTCAGGGGTTCATTTGGAGAGCTGGATCAGGTGTGATGGGCTGAATGGCCTGCTACAGCACTGTAACAATTCTGTGATTACTCAAATTACCTGATTGGGACACTTTGCTTCTTTTTAAGGAGCCTGCAGGAACTGCTGGATTACCCTGATGACAATGTTGAAGAAACATTCTGCCTCAATTTTGCGGTAAGGGCTGTTTTGCCTGAACTCCTTGACCTCTGGTGAAATTGATGTGTTGCAGTTGCTTCACTTCATCCATTAGCCTCTGGGGGCAGGCCCTGCTCACAAACCTGGAAGGTTACCACCTCTGCCTGGACATGTGTGTGACCTCTCAACATCTCCCCTCCAAATGCCCCACCCATGATCCCCAGATTCCCACAATTATTCTCCCTCAAAATGATCATCTTCTCAGTTTCTCATCCGTTTGCATCCAGTAATTTAAAAACTTAGCATCAAAAGTATTTGAAGAAAATGGGAGTGGGGTGCTGGAAGGATGGAACTTACTTTCTGAAAGCTTTGCACTTCTTCAGTGTTTATATATAAACATTAAAACTGGGAGTAGGCCATTCAGCCCTCAAGCCTGCACCTGCATTCAGTATGATCATGATTGATCCTCTTTCTCAATGCCATGTTCCCATTTTCTCTCCTTGTAACCTTTAATACGCTAACAGTGAGGAGATTAATTTGTGATTCCTGGAAACTCCAGGTCCAGTAAGTCCAGATGGCTGGAAGTCCAAATGAAGCCACAATCAGCAAGCCGAATAGGACAATGGTGTGCACTGACATCTGTCAGGGAAAGTCATGTCTGAATGGTATCGGGGTCTGGCCAGAGCACACCTCAAATGTGACGTCCCTTTCTGGCTGCCAGGAATAAGAGGAAGACAGTCAAGTGCCTCTGACTGTGGAAAGAAAAAGCTACAATATTGCTCCCAGTATTGGAGACCACAGTTAAAGAAGAGAGAAAATGGGTGAGACATGCTCTTTTCAGACTGGGCAGGCTGTGTCTGAGAGTTGAAGGTACAAGCAAATAGGGGATGATTGTTTTAAAATTGTGGGAGCCCGTCTTTGGGATCACACCAGAGAAAGGTTCTGATGCAAGGAAATTCTCTTCTTCGCACATGAGTGATCGATGCATAGAATATTTTCCCAGGTAGTGAAGTAGGGGCAAAAAACATGGAATTATTTGATGGGGGGGGCAAAGCTGTGGAACCTCTCTAGATAGTCATCTTCCTCCTTCCTTGAATCCCTTGTGAAATAAGGTGGGTTCACAAACAGTTTCCAGATGATGTCTTGTGTGGGTGGAACCAAACTCTGGATTGTCAGTCTGAATTTTATGGCTGGAAACTGTATGGGGGGCACCAACCCCTCCACCCTCGCACCCCACAAACAGAGCGGTATGTACAATACGACACTGGTGAAGTCAGCTTAGCAGGCTGATGTATTCTGTCATGCTCTCATATTGTGTAGATTATTCCTAATCAGCCTGTTAACAGATGTTATTCCATTCCTCTGGAGCGGGTGGGACTTGAACTTTAGCCTTCTGGCTCAGATATTGGGTAAGGTGGAAGAACTTGGAAATTGGAAGCCCATGTACTATTTTGAAATCACTGATGAACAAACTACTGATCATAGAGTACAGAAACTGCTGTTTTGCTACATCTTATTGCGTGACATTGACATCTTATTGTCTCTACCACTGGGGGTGCTGGTGTTGGAGGATAGGTGTAGCTATGATATCCAGCTGTGTTTTCTCTTTCAATTTTGCTTTACATTAATTGAAGATAAAGATAAACTGAATTCTCCATGTGAGATTCTAGCCTTGGCATGTCTCCAGGTACTTTATTTACAAGTAATTAGTCTGGTCACTGTTGCAGTGTAGGCTAATTTGACGTCCACTTTATCCAAGCCATGAGGCTTATCTAACACCTGATTGTGCACTATTTTCCTTTGCCTGATCCATTTTTCAGATGTCAGATGGGTAAATGTTTGAGAGTGATTGGTGCCAAGTGTGAAGAGATGGCACAAAGGTGGGGGTCCCAACAGCATGATGGCAGATAGCAGCAGAATCTGTAGGGGCCAGGGACTGAGTGTGGTTTCTGATATCAGGTATTCATTAATTTGAAGCTGCTATAATCAGGGGAGATTGAGTTGTGTGTGCGGGAGGTTTTTAATTTGGTAGCTACAACCGACATCCTGATCACAGTGTCCCACCTGACGTCCCAGCCCAGTTACCCAAGGGGATGTGCAATGCCCACCTAATTTCCCAGTTCCCTGTCAAGTGGGCACTAACTGAGCATCTGTTTGGTCCATTGAACTGAGATGGCAGTGTAGGGGCAGGAGGGTGTAGACCACCTGCTTTCCATTCTACCACCCTCACCCTGCCAGAATCTGTAATGAAAAATCCACTGTGTGCTTCTCCACCCTGATGTTAATTCCTTGCTTCTTTTTGTCCCTGTTGAAATGAACAGATTCTTCGAGAAAACTATGGCCTTACAGAGCTCCAGGAGCTGGTTCCCGGAGGTAAGAACGTGCCTGTGAGGAAGGACAACAGGTGAGTGGCTACCTTGCAACTTGGGAGGAATGACCACTTAAGGATTGCATTTGGTAGAGAAAATGGATTTTTATTTTGCCCGGTCCTGGGCCTAAAAGAGGGGTTCATCTATCCAGGTTATTTCAAAATATTTTAATGGGCCAGACATAAAGAAGATGCTTCCACTTGTGGAATCACAATTGCAGAGTTGCAAGTAGAGGATAGCCGTCAATAAATCCAATAAGGAATTGGGGAAAAATGGTGTTTACTCAGAGTGGTTAGAACATGCAACTTATTGCTGTGTACAGTAGTTAATTTGAATCATTCTCCCCGTGTCTGCGTGGGCTTCACCTGGGTGCTCCAGTTTCCTCCCACAGTCCAGAGGTGTGCAGGTTAGGTGGATTGGCCATGCTAAATTGCCCATAGTGTCCAGGGATGTACACTATGGATTAGCCATGGGAAATGCAGGGTTACAGGCACAGGCTAAAGGGTAGATCTGGGTGAGATGCTCTCCAGAGCGTTGGTGTGGACTTGATGGGCCAAATGGCAAGCTTCCACATTGTATGGATTCTATCATTCTAAACTTGTTAGGGAGGAACGAAGAGACACACCATTCAGAACAAAGCCAATTGATCGAAATTCCACCCAATGTCTTTAACAGGCACTCTGTACACCATCAATGCACAGGGGCAGCAGTGTGTACTATCTACAAGGTGCAGTGCAGAAACTCACCAAGGTTTCTCCAATAGCACCTTCCAAGCCTGTGACCTCTGCTACCTGATCGGCCGAGGGCAGTAGATACATGAGAGCGCCACCCACCTGCGATTTCCCTTTCAAGCCACTAGCCATTCTGACTTGGAAGTATATCACTTAAAGTGTCCCTGGGTTAAAATCCTGGCACTCCCTCTGTAACAGCTTTGTCAGTGCTGAGGACTGCAGCTCGCCACCATTGGAGATGGGTGATAAATGTTAGCCCAGTCAGTGGCACCCAGCTTCTGTGCAATAATATATATTTAATGAATTGAATATTTGGTAGGAGGAGGCTTTTGTGAGGAATAACCAGTAGCATAGACTGTTTGGGCCAAGTAGCTTGTTTCTATGCTGTGAAATCCTGTGTAATTCCCTTGAATTCAAGAGAAAAGCTGTAGATTTACAGCTCAGTTAGCATAGTGTGGTCTCCAGTATAGAGCCCGATGTTTTCTGTACCACCTTGTTGTTTGACAATGACAACATCTTAAGACATAGGAGCAGAAGTAAGCCATTCAGCCCATCGAGTCTGGTCCACCATTCCGTGAAATCATGGCTAATTTGATTATCCTCAACTCCACTTGCCTGCCTTTTCCCCTTAACCATTGATTCCCTTTCTGATGAACAATCTGTCTATCTCAGCCTTGAATATACTAAAGACCCAGCCCCAGCAGCCCTCTGCAGTCTACAAATTCACCACCTTCTGAGAGAAGAAATTCTTCCTCATCTCTGTCTTAAATGTGTGACCTCTTTTTCTGAGATGATGCCCTTTGCTCCTTCACCCTACAAGAAGGGGAAACAATCTTGAGCTGTCTCTACCACTGGGAGTGCCGTTGTTCGAGGATATACATAGCTGTGATATTCAACTGTACTCTCTGTACCAATTGTTGCTTTATGTTGATTGAAAAGAAAGGTAAACTGAATTCTCTATATGAAACTACTGATATTTACATATCATTACATCTTCAGCATATCTGAAAGTGCTTTATTAACATAGTAATTTTTGCAATTTGGAAAATTTGATGTCTACTTTACATAGAAAGGTCCCATAAACATTAAAATGAGATATGTGACCATTTTTTTTTTAATTTTGTGAATGCTGGTTGAGGAGGATGCCTAAAAAAACTCCCTTGAGCATGACTGTAGGATATTTTTACATTTATATTTTACCTTTTAACTTGAATGGGGAGGGGAAGTCTCAATGTCATAGCTCACTTCACTGAAATTATGGTGCAGATGGAGGCTATTTGGCCTGCCGTGCCTGCACTGGCTCTCTTATTGCTGCTGTCCTACCTTTTTCCCCATAACTCTGGCCAGTGGATGATTATTTAAAAGGAAATGGTGCCATTTGGAATACCTCATTTGAACCTGCCTCCACCACACTTGTGGGCAATGTGTTCCTTCCCCTATCTCCTCATCATGTGGGAAATACTTCTCCTTGACGGGTGACACAGCTGCACGTATCAGTGCTCAGACTGTCAGCAGTGGGTCCGAAAGCTTTGGGTTCAAACACCGCACCAGCAGTTGAGCTGAGCCTATCATTCCAGCCTGACCCACCCATCCAGCATTGAGGGAGTGCGGCGCTGTTGGAGGTTACTGCTTTTTGGTTAAGACTTTTAAAACCAAGGCCCGTTTACACCCTTGGGTAGAATTTAAAGAAGGAGCAGGACAGTTGTTTGAGATAACAAGATGCGGAGCTGGATGAACTACTATCTCGGAGTTGTCTGAGTACCTTGGCCAATGTTTATGCTCCTCCACCATCCAAGTGACAGATTATCAGGGCATCAGCTCATGGATGCTTGTGGGATCTAGTTGTATTCGAAGTAACTGCTGGGTTTCAACAGTGTCTACAGTTTAAAAGACCTGTACGGCTATAAAGTACTTAGTGATGCCTCTGAGGCTTCAAAAGCTGCAACCTAAAAGCAGCTTTTCCCTCTTTTGACAGCGCTGCACCCCCTCGGTGTTTTTATGCAATAATAACCTGAATAACATGCTCAGGCTCTGGAGTCCTGCAGCATTCTGACACTGGTGGAAGAGTTTACCTGTTAAATTGTCTCAGGTCAGGGTACACACACTGACCTTCTGCAATATGATTGTTGATACAGACGGATTACTTATCATACCCCATTCTGTGGCACAATTGGGCAACAGTAAGTTCACTTATTCTTTCTGCTTATTGTCTTTACTCAAAAACAGTGTTGAAATGCAGAAAGAGCAATTGCAGGATTTAGAAGTTGATTTGGATCCAGTAAAATATGGTTAACTTAGCAGGCTGTGTGGGAAAGGAATAATCACCATCAAGTTTCCCTTGAAGTCTTCATGGTCATTCTGTGTTGCTTCCCAGGAAGGAATTTGTCCAAGCTTATGTGGACTACATCTTCAATAACTCTGTCCAGGAGCTCTTCTCGGCTTTTTCCTGTGGTTTCCTCAAGGTTTGCGGAGGGAAGGTGCTTCAGCTTTTCCAGCCCAATGAGCTGATGGCCATGGTGGTGGGGAACACCAGTTACAACTGGAAGGAGTTAGAAATGGTAAGACCCCTCCTGAGACAGTCTACTCGTCAGCTCCTAACTCAGCCTCTTTGTACTCCTGTAAGATCTTCTGGTCAATAAAAGCAACAAGATGGCAAAGATCATTCTCCTGGTTGGCTAAAGTCAGAAATCATACGACACCAGGTCATAGTCGAACAGGTTTATTTGAAATTACAAGCTTTTGCAGCACTGCTCCTTCATCAGGTGAAGTAGTTGCTGACTTCCAAAATGACAATAATTGCTTAAAAAGCTTCCTACAGGTGGAAGCTAGACTGGGGGCCCCAGAGTAATCAACCTGTGATGATTCCTATAATGTTGTGTTTCTGAGGAGGAGGGTAAAGTAGAGAGGAATGCTGGAGAAACTCTGGCAGCAATCTGTGGTGGGAGAAGCAGAGTTAACAATATGAATTCCTCAGAACATATCAAACTCAAAGCATGATCTTTGTTTCTCTCTCCACAGATGCTCCTAGACCTGCTGAGTTTCTCCATCATTTTTTTGAGTTCTTCCGGATTTCCAGCATCTGCAGTGTTTTCCTTTTTTATTTGAGATAAGTGGAAAGGCTTTCTTTGAGGGAGTTTGAATTCTTAGGAATTTTGATGGCTGAAAGTTGTCAATGCTGGGGCAAAGGACGGGCAAAAGACCAGAGGTGAGGGACAGCAAAGATTTGAGCTTTGTAGGGCTGCAAGAAATCTGAGATAGAGGAGGGGTGTGAGAAGGCCAAAACTGAATAAAATGTGAAGATGAGAATTTCAAGATGTAGGCATTTGATGGCCAGAATCAGAGAGTGATGTGTGGATGGCACTTGGTGCCCATTGGCATATCTAAATAGTATTTGAAAGTGAAGAGCTGTTGTAACATTTTTCACTGATTTGACCTGTGCCAGGATTCTGCAGTGAGTCACATCTTATGACTTGTGAACATGATACTTACATCATAAAACAGACTGCAAGAGGGCAAATTTTACCCATGAAAAGTCTGCACCAGGTATATGCTATTTACCCACTGACCTTGAGTCTTTGGTAATAGTTTTAGTCACTTGGTGCGACTAGGGGTACTCAAAGGTTGGCATCCTGTGATCTATTTTTAATGTCGTAAAGAGCTGGACCTGCCTATGTGGTGATTAATCTGAATTCGATTGTTGGAACATGGGTAGAAGATGGTTCTTTGGCCCATTGATCATTCTCCAGCTCCAAATTGATTGTGGCTGATCATCTGCATTTTCCAGGACTATCCCCGTATCACTGGATATATCTAGAAACCTAAGATGCAACAATTAGTTGCCAATCAAGTTTCTTCTGCAATGTGACCATTAAACACAGGTTCTGCTGTGCCTTCTGTAACAGTTACCATACACTGTTCAAAATGCAGTTGCTCTACCTGCCATGAAATCTATTTTAGACCTGTATATAAAACTCATTCATATTTGAAGGTACAAAAACAAAGTTGCTGGAAAAGCTCAGCAGGTCTGGCAGCATCTGTGCAGGAGAAAACAGAGTTAACGTTTCAGGTCCGGTGACCCTTCCTCAGAACTCAGAACCCAGTTCGGAGGAAGGGTCACCAGACCCAAAACGTTAACTCTGTTTTCTCCTCCA